ACAAAACAATTAATAATCCGAAGGCTAGAAATAAAGTATTAGAAATCATGGAAGGAAGTGGTTAATATGTAGATCCTTTTAGACAGCTTCATGGTACACATGGAGAAAAAAAAACCTTTCAAACAAAATAGGTTAGATTTTTTTTATAATATCTGAGTCATTACTACCTTGTCTTAATGCATGTACAGTTGAACCAAGTTACAGGTCTGATCACTATATGATATCTATGGTTTTAACTTTTAATGATTTTAAAAAGGGAAGGGGCCTTTGGAAATTTATCAACTCCCTACTTAGTGATAAGCAATGCTTAGATTGTATCAGGGATGTTATCTCACAGGTGAAAAAGCAATATGCACTTCCTGTCTATGATCATGATAATCTTGATACTATTCTAGATGAAAACATCTATTTTACCATTGTTGACCAATTATTTCTAGAAACTCTACTTATGGAAATAAGAGGGAAAAGCATATCATACTCTGCATATCTAAAAAAGAAACAAGTTAATGAAGAGAAAGCATTACTCGAAGAAATAAAAACATTAGAAGAAAATATTTCTGAACACAATGTGGAAGAAATAAACGGAAAAAAGCAAAATTTAGAAAAACTTAGAAAACACAAACTTCAAGTAATATATATAAGAAGTAGAGCAAAATGGGTGGAAGAGGGGGAAAACCATCTCATTATTTCTGTGGTCTAGAATCAAGAAATTTTACCAGTAAAATAATTCCCAAACTTGTTAAAGAAAATGGGGAGATAACTCAAAACCAATTTGAAATTTTGGATGAAACAAAGCAATTTTATGAAAATTTATACACTACACCTAACAAAGAGTTAAAGAAATATGACTTAAATTCTGAATTAAATTTCAAAAATATACCAAAGCTATCATTAGATGAATGTGCATCTTTGGAGGGTAAAATTACATTACAGGAGGCTTCTAATACACTTAGCAAAATGAAAGCAAATAAATCACCTGGTTCGGATGGATTTTCAGCGGAGTTTTTTAAGGTCTTTTGGCGATTTCTCGGAGTTTTTGTTATTATGTCAATTAATTATGCTTATGAAAATAATAGTCTTTTAGTCACACAGAGACATGGAATCATTACATTTATGCCTAAAGGAGAAAAACCAAGACAATATCTGAAAAACTGGCGCCCAATTACACTTTTAAATACTATTTATAAAATAGTCTCAGACTCTATTGCAAATAGACTAAAGACTTATTTGGATAAACTTATCAATCCTGATCAAACATATATAGGGGAAAACACTCGTGTTATCAATGATATAATGCAGTACAATGAGGAGGAAGAAATTCCTGGTCTTCTACTACTTACTGATTTCGAAAAAGCCTTCGATACTGTTTCATGGAAATTTATACAAAAAACCTTAACATATTTTCAATTTGGACCTGATATACACAAATGGGTAAAACTATTCTACCATGATATAACTTCTGCTATTAATCATGGTGGCAATTTCTCAGCATCCTTCAATATCCATAGAGGCTGTAGACAAGGGGACCCGTTATCACCGTATATTTTTCTATTTTGTGCAGAAATTTTAGCTATACAAATAAGAGAAAATTAAAATCAAAGGAATTACTGTATGTAATAATGAAAAGAAAATTTCGCAACTAGCTGATGATACATCAATTATCCTTGATGGTAGCAAGGAATCACTGTTAGAAACAATCAAAGTATTAGAACTTTTTTCAGATATATCGGGACTAAGAGTTAATTTTTCGAAAACTAATACAGTATGGATTGGATTCAAAAAATATAGTCAAGATATCCTTTATAGAGATAATAATCTGAAATGGGGGGCTAATATATTTACTTTACTTGGAATTAATTTTGATGTAGAACTTCAAAATATGTCTAAATTGGATTATCAGCCAAAGTTAAGCAGAATAAAATCAATCTTGAATCAGTGGGAGAAAAGACACTTAACACCAATAGGAAAAATCACTGTTATCAAAACTTCTGCCTTTATTAAATCATATTTTTATGGCAATTCCACACCCAGATGACAATTTTTATAAAGAGTTAGATAAAGTATTCTTTTCCTTCCTGTGGAACCACTCTCAATATAGAATAAAAAAGGATGTAATTGTTAAAACATATGAAGATGGGGATTAAAGATGATAAATGTAAAGGCTTTTACATCTTCCTTAGAATTATTTTGGATGCGAAAACTCCTACTGTCAAATAGAGATCTACATGATTTTATACCAATATTAGATATAAATAAAGTTACAACATGCGGAATTGAATATATTAAAAATATTACAAAATCACTAAAAAACAAATTGTGGGTTGATGTATTTGACTCATGGATTGAGCTACATCATAAACAAAACCCAACTGCAGTTTCGGCAAATGCTCCGCTTTTTTATAATCCAAACATCCTTGTTGGTGGGAAAGTATTTTTCAATAAATCCATGTTTGATGCTTATATCCGACACCTTAATGATATTATGAATGAAGAAGGTGTTTTCTTGACTCATGGATCCGTTTGTGATATATATCCACAGGTGAAAATTAATTTTCTAGAATACATGAGTGTTATAAGTGCTCTTAAAGCATGGATGAAAAAAGCGAATTTTGATGGAAATGTAACTAAATCACAAAACCCTCTGGTTATGTCAAATATAAATACCCTTTTAAAATGCAAAAAATCAAAGCAATTTTATAATATTCTCAACCAAAATAGCACAGAACCTACTGGTAAAAAAAAAAGTGGAATGAAATATTTGAACTAAACGACAAAGAACGGAAAATGATTTTTAAATTGCCTTTTAAAGTTACAAACAATTGCAAACTGCAATGGTTCCAGTATCGAATTTTGAACAAAATTTTGGCCTCAAACTCATATCTATTTAAAATCAAAATCATGGACGACAAAAATTCTACCCTCTGTCAAGTGGAAGAAGAAACAATAGAACATTTGCTTTGGGAGTGTGATCATGTACAACATTTAGAGAATTTGAAAATTACCTTGAAAATAAAACAAATCTTCAGATATAAGTAACAAAAAATCATTTCATTTTTGGATTCTTAGATAAAAGGAAAAAGATACAAAATAATCTCGTTCTATGGCTTAAATATTATATCTACACAATGAGGTGCACAGGGAAGACACTTAATGTACCTGCTGCAATATTGCTTATGAACGCATTTAAAAGAACTCAAAAATATATTGCATACAAAAATGGTGAAAAGGATATGTTTGATACCTGCTGGAACTACTGGAAGCTTTTATTTCAATTAATTTTTAGACTGATATAAATATTGTAAATGCATGGACTTCTCTCTTTTCTCTCTCTCCCCCCCCCCCCACCCCAGCTTTCTCTCCTCTCTTCTTCCCCCTCCTCCCTCTCTCTTCTTCCCTTTCTTTCTAAAATGAAAAAAATACACCTTCTGAATTTGTTGTTAATCATTTATTGTATTAAATAACAGAATGTGTAAAACAAAAATAAAGAATTATAAAAAAAATAAAAATAAGAAAAGTTAAATTATTTAATCTAAAAAAAAAAATTGCCTTTGAGGCCGATCTAATACGATAACTACTAAAATTTGACTGAAGAAATAAAAAGAAGGGATTTTCCTTGAAAAACATTAAAAAAAAAATTTAGTCTAAAAAATAGTTTATTCAACATTCTTTAAATGTCACATTCTAAGAGATATTTCATTTAAAATGCCAATTCATATGAATAAATCTTATTCGGAAGGGTAAACAAATTTATTGTACTTGTGTACAGGAGCAAAATATGAATATTTTACTTTATAATGCGCCTCTGAAAAAAATGAAATGAAAAAAAAGTAAAAATACATGTAATAATAATAATTGCTGAATACGTAGAATTTTCATAATTGCATAATTTTAACATATCAAAATTCTGTAACAAAATAATAAATCTATCTGATGTTAATTTTAGACAGGTTATACCTGTAATTGCTTTTTCTTTATACTTAATTTACAGAATGGACCACATTCCCCGCCTATCAGAGATCCTCTATGTAGGTTTGAGTCGTAGAATAGGAACACCAAGTAAAGTGACCATTAGAAGGGACGTGTTGGATATCGAGGACTCGCTACTAAGACGGGAATTTGTGTGTAAATGTTATACCTGTATGGGAAAACACCACCCTTGTTCAAAACGAACCATGCATAGCGGTAGTTATAGAGAAGGATTTAGGTTTGATACATCTGATCAGGATTACATGGCGTGGTCTTGTTGTAATAAATTAATAAACAACATTTCTCAGCTTAGAGATGATTACAATTCATCAAAGGATCATCATATTATACTCACAGAAGATTCAGATACATCGCCAGGTTTTGTTAGACTACAGCACTTAGCACCTCCTTCCTCCGAATCCATCAGATCCTCAGTCATTATATTCAATGATAGAATTTATATATCATGTTTTTTATGGAGACAAAGATTCTTTAAACATGGACTAATACTACAAAATGAATATCTTCATGGTCCCTGTATGAGCGGATACTTGGGACCTAGTCAATTAGATATAACAATTTGCTTTTGCTGCAAATATTGGCCAAGTACTACAGAAAATTGAATAAAAAGATGCCTTACGCACACATGGCCTCCTGCAAGTGTGCTTAACGACATTTTAAACAATGGTTATCACTGCGTGGCTATTGGGAGTAGTGCCACCAGTAGAAATGATCTAGAGTGGAGATTGTCCTTTTCTCTGGCAGAACAAAAACTAGTGTACGCTATGAATCATACTCAATTTTTATGTTATGGACTTTTCAAAATATTTCTCAAAGAAGTGTTCAACAAGAACGTTGAGGAACCATTACTGTGTTCTTACTTCATAAAGACTACAATGTTCTGGTTAATACAAGTTGGACATTTGAGGTGGTGTCCTGACAATCTGCTGAAATGCTTTTGGATGTGTATAAAATACCTCATGCTCTGTGTGCATCGTGGTAAATTCGCCAATTTTTTCATTCCACAGAACAATATGTTTTTAAACAAAATTGTTGGTGCTACCCGTGAATCCCTTCTAGAACAACTCGGTCAGTATTACAGATTAGGCATGTCCTGTTTACTCCTTAGTCCGACAATCAGATCTATCCTTGAACCAGCCCTTTACAATCTTTCATTGGTGATCCCCTCATCAGAAGGAAATTGTAACGATATTGCATGTAATGATCGTTGTATCTTACAGGAAGTTTTGAGACTTGATTTTATATTTGTAGAAAAAATTTCACTGTTAAAATCTGTTGACACTGTGTTACATTTGTCATTGTCACCATACCAATCAGTAACATTACAGTACTTGACAGCTGAGTGTCTTGTTCAAGCAGCCTTCATGATCGTAAGCAGCGTCCAATATTTTAAGCATAAATATGTGTACTGTTTGGACAGAAAATTTTGCAACATGTTGAAATTATCATTACAGATAGGAGCCATCTCCCATTCACTGTATTTAGCTCTGTATTACTATAGGATAGGGACACATAATGAAGCACTGTATATAACTAACGTGACAAAACGAAGACTATACGAGCCCCATGTTATGCATGCATATAACGGTATGGGAGACAGTTATAGATATAGGGAGTATGTGAGTGGTCTGTCGTTGTCTAAGAGAATTAAAAATGCTTGGGTGTTGCCAATTATACTTCGTCCTGAGATATGCTATATTGAAGAATTAACATTAGAACAATCAGCTGCATTTCAACATTCACACTATTTACGTATTCCACCATGTGTATTGGTAGAAATGTTGTCAGTTTTATCTCACTACAGACTGGGTAATAGATGTCAGTGTTTAAAGTCACTGACAGATCTGCAGACACTGCTGCTCTATAATGATGGGACCTATGCTCATTTAGAACACCGAGACATATCCTGGCAGATACTAGGAATCTGTCAGCAAGTTGTGGGAGACTTACAAGGGGCTTTACAATCTTATCAAGAGTCTCTTAGACAGGGACCATACCACTATATACAGGAAGCTACAGATTATAGAATAAAAAGGGTTAAACAACAAATACAACGAGATGTTTACATGTAAAAATATGTTTAACAATGTTTTTATAGGAATTAAAAGAAATGTAGACCAGGATGCTGTACTTATGTAAAAAAGAACCTTTAGAAAACACAGATGAAACTTTCAGTATATATAATAGTATATGTACCTGTATAGCATCATTATCTGTAAAGGAAAAATCAATTAATTTTAATCAAGTTAACGTTACCTTAAAAATGACAACTGTGTTACATTGTTTATACCTATCTATATCCAATGAATATTTTTAGTTTCATTTTTGTGAAAATCCTTTAATCATACCATTAACTCTGAACTAGTGTAGATTCCATTTTTTGAAAACCACCCGTCTGTGCGATTTTTTGAGCAATGGAGTCAATGAAACATACCATGATGTACTGACCAATAAAACATAACTTGTTTATTATTACATGTACATGTTATGATAAATAGTATTTACATTTATAATTAAATAATATTATAGTAACAAAAGTATGCCTTTGTTTGTTTATTTGGATATATTTCCATTTCTAATTTTTCTCTCTGTGATAACTCTTTGAAAGTTAGCGGAGTTAATTTCTTGATAATTCTACCGGAATGTAAATTAGGCAGGTCAATAGGTCAGGAGCTAAGAAGGCCTAATATGCATGCAAATCTCGTGCGCATCTGTCTCTGAGTCTGACGCTAAGGAGGCCAAATATGCATGAAAATCTCGTGCAGCTACCGCTGTGTTTGACGTCAGTGGGGAAGGACTATTGAAATTGGGATGGGAATCTTCATGTAATTTAAATCTATGTCTGCATTTTAAAGTCTAAATCTACAATTTTATTTCACAATGAAATGGAAATATAAGGAATCAGTGTCTAGTTAGCTTCGCCCGTTGTGCAAATTATCCCATGTTTCCCACTATTGTTGATGCCTTGGCATACTATGCAAACTAGACAACGATTCCTTAATTAATAGATGTATAAATTCTGCAAACAAATTTACCAGTGCCTATGCGGGTTATGTTTAAATGGCCCAATAATAGAAGATTAGTTTTGCCCTATCCATCTGTCTGTTTTTCTGCAAAACCTTAACCTTCCCCAAAACTTTTGATCTGATGCCTCTATTCCATGTGTGACTTTCTTGTGCAAAGACCTTTTTTGGTATGAATTTTCACCTTGACCTTGGAGTTTGACCCACTCTTGAAAGTGTTTACGAAACTCAAACTATTGGCCCAATGACTTTTGAAAACAAGATGTGTTTGTGAAACAATAATGCCCCCGTATGGTAACATAGCGAAGATTTAACTTTTCTTAAATGAAAATTTAATATATTGATACCGAAAGTAGTGTATTCTGACTGGAAATACAATAGTGAAATATGAAAGTAGGCCAATGTGCATAAGGTCGGAAATCTCCAAAGTCAAAGTCAAAAGGTCATGGTAATTGGCCTCCAATCAATTGGTCTTGCCACAAAGAATACATATTTGAAGTAACGAATCCCTAGTGCTAGCCCTTCAAAAGTTATGGCCAAGGTTAAATATTTTAAAAAGTAGGTCAGACTTCAAGGTCAAGGTCCACATTCTTTATACTACATGTCACAAGGATTAAATATAAAAGTATGAAAGCACTAGCCCTTACCATTCAAAACGTATGGTCAAGATTTTTTTTTAAAGTAAGTCAAACTCCAAGGTCAAAGGGTCAAAGTTCTTAAAATCCCATGAAGGGTTTTCTCACAAAGAATATATATATGAAGTATGAGAGCATTAGACCTTAGCGTTGAAAAGTTGTGGCCAACGCAAAAGTTTTGCTTATAAGTACAGAAATCTTCACGGTCAAGGTAAAAAGATTAAGGTAATTGGTGTCTAGACTATTGATTGCAATAAACATTGAACTTTCTACCAAAATTGTAAACATTCATTGCCCTGAGCAACTTGTTCTTGTGTAAAGGCGGGGGTTTTAATGAATAAATAGTGAAAATGTATTATTCGCTGCTAACGCTCTAGGGAATTCATCGGTTAACTATGTGCATAGTTAAAATGACCATGGACGCTTCTTCTAAAATTGTGAAATGCATTGTTCTAAGGGCAAGTTGGCGTTAGTGTTAGGACAGGGCTCTATCAATCATGTAGTGAAGTACACAAGTTTAATAAAAATCTGCTGCTCTCCTTCGGAGTAATTAGCAGTTTACTATGTGCATGGTTAAGATAAATAAAGGTGCTTTTTCAAAATTATGAATTCTGGTCACTTGGTCAGGAATTCTGATGACAGGTGACAGGTGGAGTTCTATTGATCATATTGTGTAATGTGTATAGACGAATATATTTGGTACATATTCTACCTATCCCTATATTTATATTGGTAATTGGATAATTAGAAAATTTCCGGGAAACAATTAAGGTAGTACGATCCTCAGGTTTATAAAATTAGCAGTTAAGTAATCAAAAATACTCATAAAATTATCTTTGAATCCACAAAGTTATGTAAATTTATCCAGAGTAATTCTTTAAAGTTTAAGGATAAAGTTAGTCATATTATATAGGGAAAATTGTGAAATCTCCAATATTTTTGTAGAAAAAGCAAATTGGAATACCAGCAATGCATTTTCTAATTGCAAATTGATAAACAAATATATTTTAGGTTAAAAAACGATAGGTATCCAGGCACTCAGAGAAATTATCATAATTTTTATATTTATTTGGTATTTTTTGTGTTCTATTACCGTCATGCGTTCTATAATACATAGTGAAAAAGGCTTTTGCTATCATTGCAAGACACCACAAATCACTTCTTACTTCATTTCATGCTAATAAGCATTGGTATTTAAGGCTGGATTCAAGAATATCTTCTTTCTCTAAAACTGCATTAATTTTTTTCCTTATATAGGGTACAAATGTCAACTTTTATAAGACTTTTTCTAAGACTTCCAAAAACCTTGTATCTTATAACGATGAATAAAATGAAAATTGTTGCATGCAAAAATTTCGTTTTCAAGCTTCTTTTTGATGCAATTTGAATTAAATATTAAATTTTGGAGCTATCCTTCCTGGCTGAGGATCGGATATCCTAGAATGTATACCGACTATTGCAACTGCATGTGAACGTTTAGTTTCTGAATAATGATAGTCGTTCGGCGCCTTTCTTTTCACTTTTGTGAATAATTTGTGTGAAAAATGGTGTTTTTCACTTTGTTATTGTATAGCAGGCTATTCAATGGTATATTTTTTTTATAATTATATGCTACCCCTGTAACGTTAATGATTCAACCCGGGTCCATACTCAACATTACATCCCGCTTTGATATCAAATTTTGTTTTCCTGTTGTAATCAGATATCCATACCGTTATGATAATTTTTCATGATCTATGTATATTTGATATAAGTTTTATCAAAACTTGCATAAAACAGATTCAACTGAAAATTGAAAAATTCATATAATTTTCCCACTTACTATTGGCTCAGCGGACATATCAATGGAAATAACTAAGTTGCTAGCCAATACATCTGAATGTCGAGTTGAAGGCAAAAGCTAATAAAGGAACACATTTAGTATAAATCAAAATTCCAACATTTTCCTTAAAGACCCTGGTCTCCTTATACTATATAAATGTTGTCATTAAAGGACTCCAGATTTCTTTTGACATCAACATCAAAATTATCTTTGTGCAGAATCAGAATAGTGCCCCATCACAGCGAAGCATAGTTAAGGCTTGAAAAAAGGGGGCGGGGCTTAATTATACCGGAAAAGTTTACTGTGACGTCACACAAAAATATGACTTTTATGTATTTCTCATAATACCTGAACATGAAATAATTTGCAACTTTTAACTGTATTAGCATAATAAACAACAATAAAACTTATCAATGCATTAAAAAAACTTGCTAGTTAAATCTCATGTAGCTGGTTATAAACAAAGCACTTATAGCGATGAATTTGTAAACATGACGTCATTTTGGTAAACATGACGTATTTCATGTGCTGTGAGAGGCAGATTGAGGAATTCTTTAACAATGAAAAATGCGTTTTATTATTAAAAGGAATATTTACAGGTCTCAAATAGTCGATTGATACCAATGTATATCCTTTGTTTATTGCGATTATTCATTAACTATCAAGATAATGTAGTTTATTAATTATGTCGTGTTTTTTATGCACAGGTTACGCATATTTTAAATCGAAATGCCTCATAAAATCGTACTTTCGCAAGGGCATACACTGAACAGATCTTAACCATTTTTTTAATATAGGTAAAGGATATTTTTCTTAACTTGAAAAATTCTGCTGCTTTCTTTAAATCGTGGGCGTGATTTTATAAGTACACAAAATATTAGGTAAAAGTCAAATATACTTCGACATTGGCTTCTTTATCTGAAAATTTAACTATTAAAATATGAATTTTATATGATAAAATAAAATATGAATTTTATTCAAGCAGCAGCACTTTTCAGAAACAACAAAGTATGCAGAAACAATTAATGGCTTGAATTTGAAATTTGTTAATGACCTGCATTCTGTACACAAACTCTGCATTCATCACGTGACTGTTCATCGATGGGACAAAACTTCATACAGTACAGAGTACGTTATACTATGTTATTTCCATAAGTATTTAAGTTCTGTGATAATAAAACAACTTAATTAAAATAAATTCAGTTTTAAAAATATCCCCCTTTTTTGCACGTCTAATTTTCGTTGATTTCTCATAGTAGGCCTTAACAGTGCTGCGAAGAAACTATAATATCCGAGTTCTGTTATTAAAAAGAAGTAGCATCTATAAATCCTTAACGACTCGGTTGGTCAAACCCGAGCTTGCATCTTTATGGTGTAATGAACATTTCCTTTTCTTTCTTTTTAAAATTGGACACATCTCATGCTTAACAGAATAATCTTTGTGTGATGGATTTCCTTTTATGATTTCGTCTCATTACAATTTTAAAATCAGTCTGAATTGCCCCCCTTTTTTTACAAACGAATTTAACGAGGCCCGATCTACTTGAACTGCGCATGCGTTTTAACGCAGCGTCGACTCAGACACGTCATAG